GGGCAAGTCTCTCCAACTCTGCTCACTTCAAACTACATCTAGCATATTGGCTGATATAGCCCAGTATTAAATACAGATAACCTAATATAATGGACCACGTGAGAATCTCTTGTAATTATACCTATTTCTGATATTGCCTATAGGGCGAAAAATAGCTGGCAAGTGAGCTGTGTCACATACACCTAAAATAACTTTACGGGACTGCGGTTGGGTTTGGGACCAGTTCTTGCGGTAGCGGGTGGGAGTCAGACAGAAAGCCAGCGGGCGTGGTGCGTTATGAAAATCTGCAGGCGGAGCAGGATGAAGAAATCAGTCCTGTGCAGACCTCTACTGTGGATAACTGACAATGATGTGACTATTTCAAGGTAATTCTATCTTCATGTCACTGAAACAGACAGTCAGGGTATGAGGTGGCTGTTGAAATGAATACAATACGCTGTGTTTATGGAGAGCCATCATGGCTAAACTTGGATCACAGATGACGACTTGAGGGCATAGTATATTTGTACTGAGACTATTTACTTATTCCTTACCGTGCCGAGCAGGTACACATTAGTCAAGTACCTTGTAATGACCGTCATACTGTAGCTATAGTCAGCTTTCCAGTGAACAGATCTAACTCTTCCCAATACAAAACTCATTCAGAAACACTGTTCTTCCTCAGATGTACAGTTTGTGAAAAATACATCTATTATCACCTAGTCAGATATTTTGGGTTCCACAACAACTCATCAGACTGTTCAAACATTTTGTACACCAACTGTTCCCATTACACTCATCCGAGTCATTCTGAGAAGTAGTGTGCTGAGTACATGTAGTGCTAGATAGTTGGAGGATGCTGTTGGGTCGAGCCCTTACCGACATCCCCATCTGCTTCACAAATAGCTCCAGTAACTAAAGAGGAAGAGGTTAGGCCTACTATGAGGATGCTGAGTTTGAGCGGCGCGTGGAGGAAATGTGTTTCGGTTATAGTGACTTGGCATTTCCTGGTTGCTTGACAGAAGGAGAGTGAGACGGAGCGAGAGACAGACAGACAGGCGCTAGTGCTGGTTAGGAGAGAGGGCTAGAGACACACAGGCACTAGTGCTGGCTGGTTAGGAGAGATGTGCTACTCACTACTCTAAGAGGGGCTGAAGGATCCTGTGGGCCTGGTCTGGACCTGCTGTTCTGACTCGGGACCCTGATAACCCAGGACCCAGGAGGGCTCACTGAGACTGTTCTGGCTCTGGACTCCCTGATAACCCAGGACCCAGGAGGGCTCACTGAGACTGGGTTCTTCTGAACCCCTTCTCCCTGCCCTACCAGACACATGCAATGAGACATGGACTGGCCCACAAATGACAGCCAACTGGTAGGCTAATATTATCATTTCATTCTAGATTGATTACAGAAAACCTGAAGAAATAAGCCTAATGTTCAGTCACACACATTGATGCACTGCACCTTACTGTATACAGTGGGGGAAAAAAGTATTTAGTCAGCCACCAATTGTGCAAGTTCTCCCACTTAAAAAGATGAGAGAGGCCTGTAATTTTCATCATAGGTACACGTCAACTATGACAGACAAAATGAGAAAAAAAAATCCAGAAAATCACATTGTAGGATTTTTAATGAATTTATTTGCAAATTATGGTGGAAAATAAGTATTTGGTCAATAACAAAAGTTTCTCAATACTTTGTTATATACCCTTTGTTGGCAATGACACAGGTCAAACGTTTTCTGTAAGTCTTCACAAGGTTTTCACACACTGTTGATGTTATTTTGGCCCATTCCTCCATGCAGATCTCCTCTAGAGCAGTGATGTTTTGGGGCTGTCGCTGGGCAACACGGACTTTCAACTCCTTCCAAAGATTTTCTATGGGGTTGAGATCTGGAGACTGGCTAGGCCACTCCAGGACTTTGAAATGCTTCTTACGAAGCCACTCCTTCGTTGCCCGGGCGGTGTGTTTGGGATCATTGTCATGCTGAAAGACCCAGCCACGTTTCATCTTCAATGCCCTTGCTGATGGAAGGAGGTTTTCACTCAAAATCTCACGATACATGGCCCCATTCATTCTTTCCTTTACACGGATCAGTCGTCCTGGTCCCTTTGCAGAAAAACAGCCCCAGAGCATGATGTTTCCACCCCCATGCTTCACAGTAGGTATGGTGTTCTTTGGATGCAACTCAGCATTCTTTGTCCTCCAAACACGACGAGTTGAGTTTTTACCAAAAAGTTCTATTTTGGTTTCATCTGACCATATGACATTCTCCCAATCCTCTTCTGGATCATCCAAATGCACTCTAGCAAACTTCAGACGGGCCTGGACATGTACTGGCTTAAGCAGGGGGACACGTCTGGCACTGCGGGATTTCAGTCCCTGGCGGCGTAGTGTGTTACTGATGGTAGGCTTTGTTACTTTGGTCCCAGCTCTCTGCAGGTCATTCACTAGGTCCCCCCGTGTGGTTCTGGGATTTTTGCTCACCGTTCTTGTGATCTTTTTGACCCCACGGGGTGAGATCTTGCGTGGAGCCCCAGATCGAGGGAGATTATCAGTGGTCTTGTATGTCTTCCATTTCCTAATAATTGCTCCCACAGTTGATTTCTTCAAACCAAGCTGCTAACCTATTGCAGATTCAGTCTTCCCAGCCTGGTGCAGGTCTACAATTTTGTTTCTGGTGTCCTTTGACAGCTCTTTGGTCTTGGCCATAGTGGAGTTTGGAGTGTAACTGTTTGAGGTTGTGGACAGGTGTCTTTTATACTGATAACAAGTTCAAACAGGTGCCATTAATACAGGTAACGAGTGGAGGACAGAGGAGCCTCTTAAAGAAGAAGTTACAGGTCTGTGAGAGCCAGAAATCTTGCTTGTTTGTCGGTGACCAAATACTTATTTTCCACCACAATTTGCAAATAAATTCATTAAAAATCCTACAATGTGATTTTCTGGATAATTTTTTTTCTCAATTTGTCTGTCATAGTTGACGTGTACCTATGATGAAAATTACAGGCCTCTCTCATCTTTTTAAGTGGGAGAACTTGCACAATTGGTGGCTGACTAAATACTTTTTTTCCCCACTGTATAGGATTTAACATCTGTTACGCTGCCACTGTTGAGTTGAAAGACCTGAAGTTACACATTAGTCAGTAGTAGTGGTCTTTAAACAGGAGGGTTTCTGAAGTGTGCCTTGGAGCCATACTGGTGCTGCTGCCTGCTGTTGACAACGTAGCTAACTTCCTCTACATGGGCCCGTGGGCGTCTTTCAGGCTGCATGCACCAACTAGGCACACTGTTCATTAGTAAACTAGTAGCAGTTGGAATCTCATGGGAAGTGCCTGACTAATTGTCAGATCATGTGCTGTCACCTGATGTAATTTGGGTGTATTGAGTCAGGCTGTCCCGTGTGGGACCTGTAGTCCCTCACTCCACACACCGCCTGATGTGTGGAAAATAACACTCCTCGTTTTCTCTGAAAGAAGTCTTTGCGTCTCTTAAACCGTCAGGCTCTGTGTGAAGTCAGGGGAAGGTCTCATCTTTACCTCAACACCATGAGGTTCTTCTCTCCCTGTAGAATGATGAGCTGATGTAGCATGTCTGTATGACTGTACTGTAGCTATCAAACTAGGTGTAAAGTGTCTCTGTCTCTGTGGCGCTCTAGTTGTTTAGTGACATCAATAGTAGCCTGGGTTCCAGTCTGTTTCTGCTCTCTTGTCAACTCCTTGGCTTGACAATGACAGCAGTGGAGTAGGAAATAGCACAAACAGATCTGGGACCAGGCTAGAAGAGGCTTTGTGAGAGATGGGAAACATAGTGTGACTTGATAGGAGGAGGGTAGCAGGATATGATGAGTCAGATAAGAGCTGCGATATTGACAGAACCTACAGTAGAACTATTTAAAAATGTCTCTGTTACAGAACCTACAGTAGAACTATTAAAAAATGTCCCTGTCTTACAGAACCAACAGTAGAACTATGTAAAAATGTCTCTGTGTTACAGAACCAACAATAGAACTCTGATATGTATAAATGTCCCTGTTAAGAACCTACAGTATAACTATGTATAAATGTCCCTGTGTTACAGAACCTACAGTAGAACTCTGATATGTCAAAATGTCCCTGTCCTCCAGAACCAACAGTAGAACTCTGAGATGTATAAATGTCCCTGTGTTACAGAACCTACAGTAGAACTCAATGTAAAAATGCCCCTGTGCACCAGAACCTACAGTAGAACTCTGATATGTAAAAATGTCCCTGTGCAATAGAGTTCAAGGCCTGTCACCCTGTCCCTTTCCATTTAAAGCACAGTATTTAATAGAGTTGAGGATCGATAAGTCGATTGAGTACATGACTTAATGGGTGATTTTATTTATTTGGCCTATAAAGAAATCTATGTTGTAGCTTGTTACTTTTGTGATTAGTTTTTTTCACAAAAAAGGCTTGAATGCATTAGCTCATATGCTCCTGAATGTGCCATCACTTTCGTAAGGTTGCTGCAACTTCCTGTTGCAACAACAAGAGACGTCAGCCCCCTCAGGTTGTTGTTTTGAGTTTGAGCGCTACACACTGCATAAGTACAACCTGTTAGCACTGTGGTCAGAAAACAACAATCTCAAAACAACCACAGGGTACAATCCCTTTAACGGAATGTTAACGTGTACTGGTCCACATGCACTGTACTTTTTCCATATTGTGACTTCAGAATCAGAAAATGTTATTGCCATGCACCAAATGTTGCCAGGAATGTCCCTTGGGATGTAACTCAGTTGGTAGAGCATGGCGTTTGCAACGCCAGGGTTGTGGGTTCGATTCCCACGGGGGCCCAGTATGTATAAATAATGTATGCACTCACTAACTGATAAGAGCGTCTGCTAAATGACTAAAATGTAAATGTAAAATGTAAATGTGTTGTACACAGAAGCTTAAGAAGCATCAACATGCACAATCACATCAACAATCAACCCAGATCAGACTTGTGACTGGAGACTCATCCTCCATCTCTCTTCCCATCCTCTCCTCCTGCAGAAAGATGTGGGCTGCCTGCAGCAGTGGCTGGAGGCGTTTGTGGCTTCCTTTGAGAAGCTTGTTGATGTGCAGTCACTGGAGCCTCGCAGGTGAGTTGACTGATTGGCTCAAATGTATTTCATACGTCCAAAATTGCAATCTATTCCCTATATAGTGCACTACTTTTGACCAGATCCTAGATCTGTAACAAGGAGAAAATTCAGGGCTCTGGTCACACATAGGGTACCTTGTCTGATACCTTGTCATCTAAAAGGCTTAAAAGAGGAACTGAGCAATTCAATAGTTATAAAAGTACTTCATTTATTTTAAAAACTGAAAACGTAGAAAGTAAAGCACATGGCTCTTCCACATAGTCAGGAAACACCTTCCAGAAAACACAGGCCCTGATTACACATTGCAGGTACCTGTGCCAATTAGCCACTCCCACCAATTGGGCAATATAATGAACAATGCATTACAACGGGAAATGTTTGGAGATGCAGGTTATAGATTAAATGGATGAGTTGAAATAGAAAATAAATAACATTACTTCAGAGTAATCTACAGTTTCAAAATGTCAATAAAAAAAGAGTAATTTAGTCCATAGTAAAGGGCTCTCCTTCACAGGGTGTCATTTGGGAAACATTTTGAAAGTAACATTGAAAGTCACATTGTAGTCTGCACATCACATTATAGAAAGCATTATTAGTGTGCAGGCAGGATGTTTCTTTAATTCAATCAAGATGTTACCAAATCCCTGCTGAGGGAGAGATACTGTAGGTACTGCAGGCTACAGGTGGTTTGTGTCAGACTGAGTTGGATGAACTCTGACCTTATTACTATACAGAGGTGCAATTTTGACATGCATAAGTAGTAAAACACCACCATCCCCCCCTCCCTCTTCTCTCCCTCCCCCCTGTCTCAATACATACTGCTGTGCTTCACAGACTAGTCAAACACCCAAACATCTTTGTGTTCACAATGCTGTCCCAGTGTGCCTTGGATTTCCACATCTATTAATGACATCACAGTATACTGGCTGTTGGTTCACAGACAGCCTGTCAAAACACCAACCATCAATGTGTGGCTCACAGACAGCCTGTCAAAACACCAACCATCATTGTGTGGTTCACAGACAGCCTGTCAAAACACCAACCATCAATGTGTGGCTCACAGACAGCCTGTCAAAACACCAACCATCAATGTGTGGCTCACAGACAGCCTGTCAAAACACCAACCATCATTGTGTGGTTCACAGACAGCCTGTCAAAACACCAACCATCAATGTGTGGTTTACAGACAGCCTGTCAAAACACCAACCATCATTGTGTGGTTCACAGACAGCCTGTCAAAACACCAACCATCAATGTGTGGCTCACAGACAGCCTGTCAAAACACCAACCATCAATGTGTGGCTCACAGACAGCCTGTCAAAACACCAACCATCATTGTGTGGTTCACAGACAGCCTGTCAAAACACCAACCATCATTGTGTGGTTCACAGACAGCCTGTCAAAACACCAACCATCAATGTGTGGTTTACAGACAGCCTGTCAAAACGCCAACAATCAATGTGTCGTTGGTTCACAGACAGCCTGTCAAAACACCAACCATCAATGTGTCGTTGGTTTACAGACAGCCTGCAGGACAGCCAGCAGATCCCAGAGGTCCTCACTCTCCGATTGGTCCATCTCCAAGGGGCCGTCATCAGTGGCAGCAAGGTAAAGCACTCCTACTGTACCTCTCTTCAGCACTGTGTGTTAACTCCTATGTATCTCCTACTGTACCTCTCTTCAGCACTGTGTGTGTGACTCCTATGTATCTCCTACTGTACCTCTCTTCAGCACTGTGTGTGTGTTAACTCCTATGTATCTCCTACTGTACCTCTCTTCAGCACGTGTGTGTGTTAACTCCTATGTATCTCCTACTGTACCTCTCTTCAGCACTGTGTGTGTGTTAACTCCTATGTACTGTATCTATGCGTTCCAGAAGAACGGCCTGCTCTCCATCACCCCCCAGTCTGTGGAGGACCTTCTCTCTGTACTCCGAGCCTGGTGCCTCCGGACCTCCTCCGACCTCAAGGACCCCAAAGACCCCAGGCTGCTACGGCTGACCCTGCAGTGCCTGACTGCAATGGTGCATATCCTCCACTCCAGTAGTCCTGCAGAGCGCCTGCTGGAGATCAGGACCGTGTTGGATGGCTACTTCCAGGTAGCAGCAGCAGCAGTAGTAGTAGTAGTAGTAGTAGTAGTAGTAGTAGTAGTAGTAGTAGTAGTAGTAGTAGTAGAGTAGTAGTAGCATTAGCAGTAGCAGTAGTAGTAGTAGTAGTAGTAGCAGTACAGTGCAGTAGTAGTATGAGTAGCAGCAGTAGTAGCAGTAGTAGTAGTAGTAGTAGTCGTGGTAGTAGTAGTAGTAGTAGTGGTGGTGGTAGTAGTAGTAGCAGTAGCAGTTGGATAAGTTGTAGCAGCAGTAGTAGTAGCTTGGTATTGGTGGGACAGCTGTAGTAGTAGTAGAAGTAGCAATAGGAGAAGTAGTAGCAGAATCAGCAGTAGCAGTAGCAGTAGTAGTAGTAGTAGTAGTAGTAGTAGTAGTAGTAGTAGTAATATGTAGCTGTAAGCGTCTGCTCTTTTCTATCCATTGCTTTAAGGTTGGTTTGGTGGAGGGGTAGGAGTGTGGTTGGCACAGCGTTTGTGTTTAATAGAGGTATGCAATTGTTTCTGATACTTCCAGGTCCTGAACTGGAACCGGCCTCCAGGGTTAGGGAATGAGCAGGAGGACGGGCAAGACTGGGAGGACCACCTCATCACCCTCCAGAGTCACATGCTGAGTAAGAGGCCTCATCATCCCAAATACACTCCCCAAATATTAGTCTGGTCCACTAATGTTTGAGCCATCATGCCCATATGGAAAATAATCATGGAAAACAAATAAGAATATTGTATGGCAGAAGAAGATTATTTGTACAAAAATCTAATGTGATCTAATAAGTAATCTAATAAGTAACTGGTAAGATTTAGTATGTTTTGCCTTATGCACTATATATACAGCAGTATGTGGACACCCCTTCAAATTAGTGGATTCGGCTATTTCAGCCACACTCGTTGCTGACAGGTGTATAAAATCAAGCACACAGCCATGCAATCTCCATAGACAAACATCTACAATATAATTGTATGCTGTAGCGTTAAGATTTCCCTTCACTGGAACTAAGGGGCCTAGCCCGAACCATGAAAAACAGCCCCAGACCATTATTCCTCCTCCACCAAACTTTAAAGTTGGCACTATGCATTGGGGCAAGTAGCGTTCTCCTGGCATCCACCAAACCCAGATTAGTCTGTTGGACTGCCAGATGGTGAAGCGTGATTCATCACTCTAGAGAACTAGTTACCACTGCTCCAGAGTCCAATGGTGGCAAGCTTTACACCACTCCAGCCGACGCTTGGCATTGCACATGGTGAACTTAGGCTAGTGTGCGGCTGCTCCGCCATGGAAACCCATTCCATGAAGCTCTTGATTAACAGTTCTTGTGCTGACGTTGCTTCCAGAGGCAGTTTGGAACTCGGTAGTGAGGACAGACGATTTTTACGCAATAAGCACTTCAGCGCTCAGCTGTCCCGTTGTGTGAGCTTATGTGGCCTACCATTTCGCGGCTGAGCCGTTGTTGTTCCTAAACGTTTCCACTTCACAATAACAGCACTTACAGTAGACCGGGGCAGCTCTAGCATGGCAGAAATTTGACGAACTGACTTGTTGGAACGGTGGCATCCTATGACGGTGCCACGTTGAAAGTCACTGAGCTCTTCAGTAAGGCCATTCTACTGCCAATATTTGTCTATGGAGATTGCATGGCTGTGTGCTCGATTTTATACACCTGTCAGCAGCAGGTGTGGCTGAAATAGCCGAATCCACTAATTTGAAGAGGTGTCCACATACTTTTGTGTATATGTCTTATATGACATAAACAATTCAGTACGATTGGTGAATTTCCTACGTAGATATGGGATGACATATTTGAGGCCAAATATATAAATTATAAGAGTGATATATGAATATTATAAGAAAAGTGTATGTTCTGACAATGTAACCGCTACAAAATAAATGCTTTCCTTTTATAGGTTTCACATTGTTTTTATAAGTCAACATACGTATAAAAAACATACGTATAAAAAACCATGACAGTTACTACCATTTTGTATATACATTTTCAGGTATGAGTTTCCCTGTTTAAGGCTGGGCAACACCTCCTACTGGACAGTTGATCTATCTACAGCTATGCCTTTGGTCTCCCGTCCAGGGTTTTAACCAAGCCCAGATTAGCTTTAATATTTGTCACTGACTACTACCGATGTGCTATCATGAGATTGTTGAGGGATCGCCACTTAATAACAAAATAAATTCACTGCTGTTATCGAAGCCATTCCCCCTCCTCCTCTCCCTCCTCCTTCTCCCCTCCTAAATGTTTTAATTTCCCTCTTTCTCCCCCTCCTCCTCTGCTCTCCTCCCTCCTTTCCTCCCCCTCTCCTCTCTTCCTCCTACTCCTTTCCTCCCCCTTCTTCTGCTATCCCCCCTCTTCTCCTCCTCCTCCTGCTCACAGCATACTTTTCTTATTTCTTCAGTAAGAATGACAGTGGCATGACGTCAGACAGTGGCATGACGTCAGACAGTGGCATGACATTGCTTTGAAATGTGTATGTGAGACCTCAGAAGGCTTAGCTGATGTTTTTTATATAATACATGCAGCATGTCTGTGTCTAAATGTTACCCACCCATATAAGTCAGATATTACAAGAATCTTCTATACATCTTGGATGTGTATTTGCTGCAATATGTATTACTTCCAGGTAAAACATACAGGAATCTTGTTTAAGTCTTCTATATCTGTTCCATACGGAGCTGACTTCATTGGTGTCCTTCTCAAGCTAAACATGGCATGATAATGAGTGACACAGTGTTGGCATGATAGCATCAACAGACTGGCACCCAGGCTACCTAAAGGATGACATTTGTCTTTACTCCTTCTCTACAAAACACCTTCAAATTACAGCTCAAAACATGAGACATATCTCTTTTATATGAAGGGTTTATCTCTGAAGCCCAGGTATGTATTCTTGTTGTAATTGTGACTAACAAGTTATTGATCATGTTGTTGATGATGAGTCGTATTGTCCTCAACAGCTTCGGTGCCTGAGATCTTGCAGTGTTCAGACAGGCCGGTGCTGCAGGCCATCTTCCTCAACAACAACTGCTTCGAACACATCCTCCGACTCATCCAGAACAGCAAGGTCTGTCTTTCTGTCTATCCATCCATCCGTTTGTCTGTCAAATGTCAGTTGTTATAAAAGGTGTGTTTCCATGCATATCCAGAACTAACTTATGACATTCAGTTCATGCAGCAGGTGTGTTCTTCATGCAGCAGGTGTGTTCTTCATGCAGCAGGTGTGTTCTTCATGCAGCAGGTGTGTTCTTCATACAGCAGGTGTGTTCTTCCTGCAGCAGGTGTGTTCTTCCTGCAGCAGGTGTGTTCTTCATGCAGCAGGTGTGTTCTTCATACAGCAGGTGTGTTCTTCCTGCAGCAGGTGTGTTCTTCATACAGCAGGTGTGTTCTTCCTGCAGCAGGTGTGTTCTTCATACAGCAGGCGTGTTCTTCATGCAGCAGGTGTGTTCTTCCTGCAGCAGGTGTGTTCTTCATACAGCAGGTGTGTTCTTCCTGCAGCAGGTGTGTTCTTCCTGCAGCAGGTGTGTTCTTCCTGCAGCAGGTGTGTTCTTCCTGCAGCAGGTGTGTTCTTCCTACAGCAGGTGTGTTCTTCCTGCAGCAGGTGTGTTCTTCCTACAGCAGGTGTGTTCTTTATACAGCAGGTGCTGCCACAATGGAGAGCCAAACATGGTCCTCTGTGAGTTGACATTGTGTCTGTCTGTCCATCTATGTGTGTCCTGTCCTGCAGCTCTATCAGAGTAGCAGGTGTAGGTCGGAGCGTGAGGGTGTGTGTGACCTCACCACACGTTTGCTCACAGATACAGAGGTGGAAGTGGACCAGGTACTTTCCCTTCATGATGATGTTGAAATATGTCTGACTGTCAGCAGAAAACTCAGCCTCTTCTCTCTCTCTCTCTCTTTCTGCTCTCTCCTCCCCCTCCCACCTCATAGTCTATAGCTACGTAGTATAATTGCACTACCTGCATAATTAAAAAATGAGGTTGACTATCCAGACTTCCTGTTAAAGACGCTTCCTGTTTAAGGAGCTCAGAGAGATGGAGGGTGATCTGTGTACTGGACTAGTAGCTCTCTCTTCTTCTTTTGGTTGACAATTAGTTTATAGTTTTTCTACAGAACTCAGTCTAGTTTAAACTCAGTGTCAATATACATCTTCCCCCCTCCCCCTCCAAAATCCACATACATTCATTCTCACAGAGGGATCCACAAACAAAACACTAAGGCAAAAAAAACGATCCAAAACAAACTGACATTCACTTACAGAACCACAACGGCCACTATACAGAACATTCTGTAAGATGGTCCACATAGGGTTTCTGTCAGATTCTGTCAGATATGTCTGGTTTATGTTTGATTTTATAATATAAATAGTCTAATGGTATGTAGCTAGATAGTTGAGTCCTCCAGTTTGTTACTGCGGTTGGATATGAGGCTCCCTCACTGTTCTTATACCTCATATTCACTAATAGAGGCTGAGTGTCCTGCTGTCATCAGTAGGTCAGATGTTGTGCACATTGTGTGTGTGTGTGTGTGTGTGCATGTGGGGTCATCTCTCCAAGCATGTATCTCATCACTGTTTCGAGGCTACTTTTGGGATCTTCCTCCTCCTGCGTGTCCGGTGGTGTGGTATCTTTCACGTCGTCTTGTGGTTGTAGATGTGTAAAGGAATCTTTGATTTGGTGTATTTTTTTATTATTTTTTGGGGTCATTTAGCAGACGCTCTTATCCAGAGCGACTTACAGGAGCAATTAGGGTTAAGTGCCTTGCTCAAGGGCACATCGACAGATTTTTCACCTAGTCTGCTCGGGGATTAGAACCAGCGACCTTTCGGTTACTGGCACAACGCTCTTACCCACTAAGCTACCTGCCGCCCTAGTTAGTGTATCCTATGCACCACTCAGGTATTGTGTAACAATGGGTTTTGCTTGTGTGTCACATTCTTTTTTGGCAGAAGGCTTTTGCAATCGTATTAGTTGGGTTGGGTTCTGCATGTCAGCACCTGTCAGTAATTGACACAGTTGTTTTGGTAACTTCTGTCTTTTCCCTGTGTGTGTTTCATGTAAATATGTCCCCTTGAGTTAGTTCTGTGGTGTCATGTCTTATTATGTCCCCCTGACTGTGTAGGTTTTGGAGAAAGGTTCTGACTGCATCACAGTCCATGCCCTCGGAGTCCTCACATCCATCATGAGTAACTCCCCTTCTGCCAAGGTAAGGATTTATAGACCTGGTATGGCCTACTGGGTATTGAACCCCAGTCATCCACAGTCATCCATTAGCCCTCCCAGCTAAAACCTAGGGATTATTTCTGGGAGCTTACTCAAGTCTTCAGGTCTTAGGCTCTTCATCACACAAGCATAGTTCTAGCATCATCTTCCTCTGTCTGACACACAGACACACACACATTTTATCAGAACAGAAAAAGAGGCTGATGATGATTGACTCTATTTTCATTCTTGTTTGGATAGTCCCATTGTCCTACTGTCTGTTGTGAGGCGGTGTGGCTGTTTGCCAGGGAGGCAGTTCTTTTAATTCTATCTCTGTCCCAAATGGCACCCTATTCCCTGTATAGTGCAGTGTTTTTGACCAAGGCCCATAGGGCTCTATATAGCGAATAGGGTGCCATTTGGGAGACAGCCTGTGTCTCTGTAGATTACTAGCCTGTCTGTTTTTGTGTCTCCTTCCAGGAGGTTTTCAAGGAGAGGATCGGCTACTCCCAGCTGTTTGATGTGCTGAAGAGCCAGGGCCAGCCCACTAAACGCCTGCTGCAGGAGCTCATGAACATGGTGAGTACAACAACACTGTTATCATGAAGGCCATTAGTCATTTACTTTTCATGTCTTTCTGTGGGTTAGATATATTTAGACTTCCACAAAAGCCTCTCTCATTCTCTCACTCTCTCTCCCCTCTCCTCCTCTTCTCTCCCCCCCTCTCCCTATCCTCCCTCCCTCTCCCTCTCTCCACTAGGCGGTGGAAGGGGAACACGCCCACGCCCATCACCTGGGTATCAGTAACGACCAGCCCCTCCTCCTCCTCCTCCAGTGGTTGCCTGACCTGGCCCCCCAGAGGGACCTGCAGCTCCTGGTAGCCCAGTGGCTGACTGCGGTCTGCGGGAGCTCCCTGTCCTGCCGTACGGTGGCCGTGGAGGCTGGCCTGGTGGGGGCTGTGCTCCATGTCCTCTCCCAGCCACAGAGACTGGACCGCCAGTGTGCAGACGCCCTCCTGGGGCTGTTACAGGACCTGGGGTCTCTCTGTCTGAGGCCTGCTGAGCTGAAGAGTCTGTTGAGGCTGCTCCGACCCCCCGACCAGGTATTTGATTTAAAATTGATGCTCTGTAATGCTTTCAATTTGTTTAATATACTGTACAGTGACCTCCGTAATTATGAAGCATTTAAAAAAATTATTTTGGCTTTATACTCCAAATGTCATAGCCCCCAAAAATGCTAACCTCCCCTGTTATTGTAATTGTGAGAGCTTAGCATGTCTTGGTGGTATGATATTTGTGTGTCTGTAACTTTCTCACTCATCATTATTCACAATTCATTCAGGATTATCCGTAATCCTGGTAGCATCCACATTAATGTAGAAGTGTTTAGAAACATATTATATTCTTATTTACAATAATAATGACTCCAAAATGACACAACACATTATTTACCATTAATTTCTACTGGGCACAAAATAATCTGAAACACAACCAAAACAAACAGCAAATGCATCCAACAAATGTGTAGTCACAAGCTTGATATAGTCATTGTGTGCTATGAATATGGGACCAAGTACTAAACGTTTGACTACTTTAATACACATATAAGTGAATTTGACAGATATCACCCTCTATACAGATATCACCCTCCAGACAGATATCAGCCTCTATACAGATATCACCCTCCAGACAGATATCAGCCTCTATACAGATATCACCCTCCAGACAGATATCAGCCTCTAGACAGATATCACCCTCCAGACAGAAATCACCCTCCAGACAGAAATCACCCTCCAGACAGATATCACCCTCCAGACAGTTATCACCCTCCAGACAGATAGGCATGACCACGCTTAGATAAAATTCTCTCTCTTACCAGGGCCAGGATGTGTTGGCAGGGAAGGGGACCGGGACACACCCCTACTGCGCCCGCATCATCCGGGTTCTGGCGGCGATGGCGGCCAGGGAGGGGAGGGAAAGCGCCCTTCAGTACTTTGACCTGACCCATCCCCTGGCGGGGATCATGGTGCCCACGGTCCAGCGCTGGCCAGGCAGCGGGTTTTCCTTCCACGCCTGGCTCTGTCTCAACATGGACTTCCCTCCATTCCCCTCAGAGTTCTCCACCCCCAGCACACGCTCGTCTACTGGGGCACCAGGGGCGGCGACCCGGGGTATGGGCAAAGGCCCCCGCAGGAAACAGCTGTACAGGTACCAGACTGGAGAGATGGGGACACACCTAAGACCACACTACTGCTTGATGTGTGCTGGCCCAATGAGAGAGCCGGTGCTGGCCCAATGAGAATTAACAAACAAAAGCCCCCCCCACGTCTCTCAAGCACTTTAATTCTACAACCACAATAAACAATGGTTTTCAATATGGGCCGTTTGATTTTCAGGCAATGTTGTTGAAGGTAGGTAGGACTGTTGTGGGGACTGTATTACCGCCACACCGGCAGTCATGAATTATGACCGCAGTAATATTCCACGTGACCGTTAAATCACGGTAATCTCCTTTTATGCACTCTGGACATGCTTTGATAGTACCCAACTTGCTAACTACCATCAGGTCCTAATGGCCTGGTACTCAGGGCTCTATTGTCCCTCTAACCACTCTGACATCAATGCAAATGCAATCGAAAATCACATCAAACAGTGACAGTATCCTGCTTTTAAAACTCACCTCACTGTGATGATCCATTTGAAGGAAGAAGTTCAACAGCAGGTTGAAACAGTGTAAAACATGGTCGTTGTGGATGTTGTTTCAAAGCCAAACACAATGAAATGGACAGCACTTTCTAAGGTGATGATTAATTCAAAACACCCACACGCATATTAGAGCTTATGCATACGCTTATGGACCCAAGCCTGAAAAAAAATTCTAAATTAAAATGATGGTTGTGCCTTATACAATACATAGCTTACCACATATTCCACATGGCAGAAAAACATAAAACAAAACTTATTTAAGATGTCTTTGGTACATAATTGGTCTAGCCAATGCTCCAAAATTAAACAAATTAGAGTAATCACTTTTGAGTGTGGACTGTATCATTATGCATAGTGGATAAACTGGTTACCTTATGCTACGCTCCAAAATATCTATCCACAAGTCTGGGAGGGAACGTAGAGCCCTAGGCGATGCTGTTGGTTCATTGATTGTGCAGGGCGGCTTACAGTTGGCCTACAATTATAGTGAATTTGTATTTGATTTTGAATAGCCTAGTAATGGGGGATTATTTATATTTTCATAATTAATTGGGTGACATTACCTTTACCTTTAGCTACAGAATATCTCACCACCATGATATTTCATCTCCTCCTCTCTCTCCTTTATTCCTTTCTCGAGCGTGCAGAGGGGCTGTCAACAGTTTAATGAAATATGTTTTGTTTGCGAAAACATGTTACCATCGATGTTCCCAAAACAGATTTCACTTGGTTTCCCAAAGTAAGCATTGGGTAGCTGCAGGAACAGGGTTGGAGAGCCCATGGCATACAGAGTACTGGGTAGCTGCAGGAACAGGGTTGGAGAGCCCATGGCATACAGAGTTTGGGCGGAATATCAGCTGTCGCGCAGCGAGAGCATGCTCCTCAAACAGTGGTTGATGCAGGGAGTGAAATAAGTGTTTATTTCTGAGCTGCTCATATTAAACACAGCTCCGCTATAAAACCGAAGTAGCCTACCAGGCATCATTGAAAAATTGACTGGCGGGAAAGCGCTCGGCCTCCATTCACTATTAGAGTGCATACAGATAATAATAATAATAATAATAGTAATAATAATAATAGTCATGTGTGCATACATTTTTTTGAATGTATGGGTGGTCCTGGGGATCGAACCCACTACCCTGGCGTTACAAGCGCCATGCTCTACCAATTGAGCTACAGAGGACCACAATGACATGTATTTTTCTCCCCATTTGATAATGGGCCATTCTAAATCGAAACAAATTGTACATATTAGTAAAGACGAGATTAAATTGAGAATAGTCTGATGGGTGAAAATGAGATCACTTGACGAGAGAACAGCTGTGCAGCCTGAGGCAAGTAACAGAGCGCAAGCTTTTTTTTGCGACTTTCTCAGATCATCAATAGCCTATAGTCGCATCATGCAGCCCGTATATGTTTTGATTTCAAAGACATTCTAAGGTTTGTATCGTTCACAACTAAAGTTGCGAAATAACTCTAAATCTAGCGTATAGGACCTGTTTCAAATGATCACTTTTACGCTCAACATACTAACCATATACACACTCGCTCCGGAATGGGAAAAATATCCTTTCTAGTTCAATTATATTCTTCTTACTATAAAATCATAAAATAATGGCACGGGACGTATAAGCATATCTTGTCAGCTAAATGAACAAGCCTAAAGCCTATGGCATGGAGCAAAGCCAGATAACATACAGTAGGCCAACTCATATTCTGTTCTTCTGAAATACATTTTCTTCATATAATGTTTCTTTAGACCTGACTAAAATAAATAATATATTTATTTTGATGGTGTCTATCACATTGATTTATTATTAGATGTTCCAAAGGCGTATTATGTTCATTACCGGTCAATTACCGTGAGACCGGCAGGCTTTGGCATAACAATAACTGGCTGGCAAAATGTCATGACCGCCACAGCCCTAGTTGAAGGAAATATGATTCAAATATATGACCGGCAGAGTAACTTAATATTGCTACCAGTCATCAGTTGGATCAAATTAAATTCCATTCAGTAAACTTTACTGATCCCCAAGGGGTGGTTATTGATGTGTTTCCTGTCTCCTTGGTGCTTAGCCTGTTGACAGCCAGTGGTACAGGTCTGGAGGCTTTCTTCACCTTGGAGGGAGTGCTGGTTGTGGCCGTCTGCACTAAGAAGGACTACATGGCTGTGTCCCTTCCAGAACAGCCTCTAACAGACTGCTGCTGGGTAAGGTACACACAGAGATATAGGGACAGAAGATGGGTACCTAATTGCACCCTATTCCCTAGACAAGGTCAAATGTAGTGCACTATATAGAGAATAGGGTGCAATTAGTATTTATTATGGATCCCCGTTAGTTCCTGTCAAGGCAGCAGCTACTCTTCCTGGGGTTTATTATGGATCCCCGTTAGTTCCTGCCAAGGCAGCAGCTACTCTTCCTGGGGTCGAGCAACATTAAGACAGTTATATACAATTTAAAATATTACATGACATTACATTTCATAACACTTTTCACAACACATTAAGTGTGTTCCCTCAGGCCACTACTCCATTTGGGACGCACGCAGAGACCGAGACACAGGCTCTCAATACGGAGTTGTTTCCCCATCTTAACTGACAGCCCTGATGTAAGCTGTGATCACCTAGCTAGCTGCTGTGCCATCTGCTCACCACAGCTGTGTTGTAACTCTAATGAATTATAATTGTCAGGGACTGTTTAATAATGGATGTTTAACTAGTACTTCAAGACACACTCATGTTTCTAGATTCTGGAGAAAGCACAATACTATATTTTACCTGCAGTATACTGAATAAAGACTCTTTTTTCTCTCTCTCTCTCTCTCTCTCTCTCTCTCTCTCTCTCTCTCTCTCTCTCTCTCTCTCTCTCCCTCTCTTCTCCTCCCCACAGCACTCTGTGGACATAGTCCACATTCCCGGCCGCCGTCCCTTCGGTCAGAATCTGGTCACCATCTACATCGATGGAGAACAGTGCAAGATAGCCCAACTCCGCTTCCCCTCGCTCAACGAGGTGAGAGACTGAGACAATGGGGTGAAGGACATTACTAAATGTGGAAAGCAAAATATGGTTGGAATAGGACATAATTTGGTTGGAGTATGACAAAATATGGTTGGACTAGGACATAATATGGTTGGAATAGGACATAATATGGTTGGAATAGGACAAAATATGTCTGGAATAGGACATAGGTTGAGAGCAAAGTGCAAAAGACAGACAGAAAATTAAAAGACAATTGTTTACGATTATCAGTTCTCTCTTGTTAGATAAAAAAAAATGTTTTACAACTGTTCTGTGTTCATGGTAACTGTTGATGGGTCCATTACTGCTACATTAGCCATCCTGGGTCCATTAATGCTGCATTAGCCATCCTGGGTCCATTACTGCTGCATTAGCCATCCTGGGTCCATTACTGCTGCATTAGCTATCCAGGGTCCATTACTGCTGCATTAGCCATCCTGGGTCCATTACTGCTGCATTAGCCATCCTGGGTCCATTACTGCTGCATTAGCCATCCTCGGTCCATTACTGCTGCATTAGCCATCCTGGGTCCATTACTGCTGCATTAGCCATCCTGGGTCCATTACTGCTGCATTAGCCATCCTCGGTCCATTACTGCTGCATTAGCCATCCTGGGTCCATTACTGCTGCATTAGCCATCCTGGGTCCATTACTGCTGCATTAGCCATCCTCGGTCCATTACTGCTGCATTAGCTATCCAGGGTCCATTACTGCTGCATTAGCCATCCTGGGTCCATTACTGCTGCATTAGCCATCCTCGGTCCATTACTGCTGCATTAGACTTTGACTTTAGACTGATGACTTGAAATGATCTGGCCAGGTTTTGTAATGTTTTGCCACTCATTTTGTGCCACAGTCTACGTGGATTACTCTACAGGCAGACCGAGACAGTAGCCGCAGCATCACCCTTGCAAAACAAAAAACTGCAGCAGATTGGCTAGTGAAATGCACACTCAGCATTCTGATTGGACCAGCAGACTGTCAATCAACACAAGTCGGTATGAGCTAGCGAACAGATGGCTGATTGGCTGTACAGCTGTAGGATCGGGTGCAGCGCAAACGTCACATTGTAGAGAGAGAGGATTGCCATAATGTGGTCCTCTGTAGCTCAGCTGGTAGAGCACGGCGCTTGTAACGCCAAGGTAGTGGGTTCGATCCCCGGGACCACCCATACACAAAAATGTATGCACGCATAACTGTAAGTCGCTTTGGATAAAAGCGTCTGCTAAATGGCATATTATTATTATTATTATTATTATAATAAATAAACATGCAGCTCCAAAAATTGTTTGGTGATCAAGAATATTAACTGTTGACTTTGCAAGCTCACCAGCAATGGGGCATCAATTACTAGCATAGGCCTACTGGTCTTCTGGTAGGTAACAATAGCTGGACATTTATAATTTACTTATAAAGCTTGCATTTGGAATGTGTTGTTAAAATGAATTATTACTGTGGCGAAGACGCACCATAGGAGTGGAGAGGGCTTTTTTTTCCTCTTGTTGGTACATCTACTTGTATATTTTTGAATGATATGGCGCTTTCACCATTGGATCACCAAGACCTGTAAATAAATCTACACACTGAGCACGTCAACCTGCCTTGCCTTCTGCTGGTTTCATGCCCTTATGACTGCTACAAGGTCCATATTTTACAGTTACATAGGGTAATAAAGATATGTTGTAGACTAAATAATGAAAAGGTCAGTCTGGTAGCCTCAATAAATAGACAAAAATGTGTAGTTGGAACAAGCTGTTGCATGTATATTTTTTGTTTTTACTTGACTTGCTCTTAGAATGCACGACTTGGACTTGACTCGAGTCTTGACCCATTCAGACCTTGTGACTTGAGACTTGCTTGTGACTCCAATAATAGTGACTTGGTCCCACCTCTGGTTTCAGAACCATGACAAATAGCTGTAGAATGGGTCTGACTGGGTAGATAACTAACAGAAACACTATTATCTTATGTCTAACTTTCTCCACCCTCCCTCCCTCCCTCACTCCCTCCCTACTCCCTCCCTCCCTACTCCCTCCCTCCCTATTCACTCCCTCCTTACTCCCTCCTTCCATACTCCCTCCCTCCTTACTCCCTCCAACCCTATTCACTCCCTACTCCCTCCCTCCCTCCCTACTCCCTCCCTCCCTCCCTCCTCCCTCCCCCTGTAGCCTTTCACCTCCTGTTGCATTGGCTCAGCAGGCCACCGCACCACCACCACCACCACGTCGCCCACCCTGCCTCCCCCCTCCCTCCCCCCGGCAGAGATGGCCTTCCCCGCCCACGCCCCCCCCATCACCCGCTCCCAGTCCTTCCCAGCCTCCTTTGCGGCAGGCCGCTGGGGGCCTGGGCCCGGGCCTCTGCATGACGCTCTCGTCCACACCATCCCAGCCGGGCTGCAGGACACGGAGTGGGGCACGCCCACCTCACTGGACGGGCTCCTGGGGACCGCCTTCATCTGTCATGAGGCCCTGCAGCCAGCGCACACCAAGGCCCTACACACTGCTGGTACATATAAACACACACACCAAGGCCCTATACACTGCTGGTACATATAAACACACACACCAAGGCCTTATACACTGCTGGTACATATAAACACACACACCAAGGCCCTATACACTGCTGGTACATATAAACACACACACCAAGGCCTTATACACTGCTGGTACATATAAACACACACACCAAGGCCCTATACACTGCTGGTACATATAAACACACACACCAAGGCCTTAGACACTGCTGGTACATAGACACACACACCAAGGCCTTATACACTGCTGGTAGGATTAGGATTTACTTTATTGTCCCGAGGGGTAATTGGTCTGCTTTTTATAAGAACCCCCCTTCCCACCCACACAAGGCTGTGACTTGGTGGTCAGTTCCACATGATTTAAGGCCTACTGGCCAGAATCCAGTTGTTGTCTTCTACCTCTGTCTCCCTACTAGTTAGTCCTTTTATTTACAGGGACAAAGCATTGTATACAGTAACACCCAACACTGGCCACACACACTAGGGCCCTATATTCTGCAGGTATGTACACACACCCAACACACTATATATAGTAACCTTGTAACCCTCCCTCCCTCCCAGGCCCCAACCATGTGTCCCTGTTCAAGGCGGATGGAGAGCTGTCAGACCTCAACAGTAAACTGCTTCTCTACTACACTCCTCAGGTGGGTGGCTCACAAACAGGCTCCTCCCAGACACAGGCTCCTCCCAGACACAGGCTCCTCCCAGACACAGGCTCCTCTCAGAAACGGGCTCCTCTCACAGGCTCAAAAGCAGCTTACTGCAAGTAGTGTACTTCAGAAATGGGAAAAAGTCAACATTTATGGACTGAATACCTTGTGGTCAAAAGCAGCCTACATCAGTGTAATCCAGTCACATCAAGTAGTAACACTGTAGTAACAACGGGTAGTAACGCTGTAGTAACAACAGCTAGTAATGCTGTAGTAACAACCGGTAGTAACGCTGTAGTAACAACAGGTAGTAACGCTGTAGTAACAACAGGTAGTAACGCTGTACTAACAGGTTGTAACGCTGTAGTAACAACAGGTAGTAACGCTGAAGTAACAACAGGTAGTAACGCTGTAGTAACAGCAGGTAGTCACGCTGTAGTAACAGCAGATGGTCACGCTGTAGTAACAACAGGTGGTCACGCTGTAGTAACAACAGGTGGTCACGCTGTAGTAACAACAGGTGGTCACGCTGTAGTAACAACAGGTGGTCACGCTGTAGTAACAACAGGTGGTCACGCTGTAGTAACAACAGGTGGTCACGCTGTAGTAACAACAGGTGGTCACGCTGTAGTAACAACAGGTGGTCACGCTGTAGTAACAACAGGTGGTCACGCTGTAGTAACAGGTGGTCACGCTGTAGTAACAACAGGTGGTCACGCTGTAGTAACAACAGGTGGTCACGCTGTAGTAACAACAGGTAGTAACGCTGTAGTCACACTATAGTAACAACAGGTAGTAACGCTGTACTAACAGGTAGTAACACTGTACTAACAGGTAGTAACGCTGTACTAACAGGTAGTAACGCTGTACTAACAGGTAGTAACGCTGTACTAACAGGTAGTAACAACAGCTAGTAACGCTGTAGTAACGCTGTAGTAACAACAGGTTGTAACATGTAGTTACAACAGGTAGTAACGCTGTAGTAACAACAGGTAGTCACACTATAGTAACAGGTAGTAACGCTGTAGTAACAACAGGTAGTCATCCTGTAGTAACAACATGTAGTAACGCTGTAGTAATCCTGTAGTAACAGCATATAGTAATGCTGTAGTAACAACAGGTAGTAACGCTGTAGTAACAACAGGTAGTCACGCTATAGTAACAGGTAGTAACGCTGTAGTAACAACAGGTAGTAATCCTGTAGTAACAACATGTATTAACACTGTAGTAATACTGTAGTAACAACATGTAGTAATGCTGTAGTAACAACATGTAGTAATGCTGTAGTAACAACATGTAGTAATGCTGTAGTAACATGTAGTAATGCTGTAGTAACAACATGTAGTAACGCTGTAGTAACAACAGGTCGTAACGCTGTAGTAACAACAGGTCGTAACGCTGTAGTAACAACAGGTAGTAACACTGTACTAACAACAGGTAGTAACAATGTCATTAAAACACGTGTATTTTGTCTCAGGCCTTCAAGAGTCAGATCTGTGTGGACCTGTCTCCTAACCTCCAGTATGATGGCAGACTGACAGGCCACAGGGTGGTGAACAGGGACATCAAGGTGTGTTGATCCTCATTCTCCAACAGTTGCTACTGTCTTTGTTAACCAAGAGCTCAGTAAACTAGTTTGACCTGGGTCTTACAACATCACTGTGCCTTGAGTGACAAGACTTTGAGTGACTGTGTGTGTGTGTGGTGTGTGTGTGTATCCCTGTAGGATGTGTTGAACACGGTGGGGGGCATGGGGGTGCTGCTGCCCCTCCTGGAACAGGTGTGTGAGGCAGAGCAGGCGGAGGGAGGAGGTCAGGAGACATCAGACCTGCTGGGACCAGAACTAACCTCTAGCTCCTCCCGGGGGCCTGTCGACATGCTGCTGCCACTGGGCAGGTCCTCCGGTCAGTAGCCTGTACAGTGTGTGTACTCCTGTATGTGTGTGCTGGAGACAATAGAGAGACAGATATTATACTGTATTATAACTGGGTAGTTTGATTCCAGGATGTTGATTGGCGGAAACAGCATTGCAGCCGTGTGTATATCAGACAATCATAACCACAGGTATACTTGTTTACTGCTCTAATTACCTTGGTACCCAGTTTATAATAGCAATAAGGCACCTCTGGGGTTTCTGGTATATGGCCAATATACCATGGCTAAGGGCTGTATCCAGGCTGTACTCCGCTTTGGGTTGTGCCTAAGAACAGCCCTTAGCTGTGGTATATTGGCCATATACCACAAACCCCCGGGGTGCCTTATTGCTATTATAAACTGGTTACCAACATAATTAGAGCAGGAAATGTTTTGTCATACCACGGCTTTCAGCCAATCAGCATTCAGGGCTCGAACCACCCAGTTTATAATGGCCAATATATACAAAAGTATGTGGACACCCCTTCAAATTAGTGGATTCGGCTATTTCAGTATAAAATCGAGCACACAGCCATGCAATCTCCATAGACAAATATTGGCAGTAGAATGGCCTTACCGAAGAGCTCAGTGACTTTCAACATGACACTGTCATAGGATGCCACCTTTCCAACAAGTCAGTTCGTCAAATTTCAGCCCTATTGTGAAGTGGAAACGTCTAAGAGCAACAACGGCTCAGCCGCGAAGTGGTTGGCCACACAAGCTCACACAACGGGACCACCGAGAGCTGAAGCGCGTAGCACGTAAAAATTGTCTGTCCTCGGTTGAAACACTCACTACTGAGTTCCAAACTGCCTCTGGAAGCAACGTCAGCACAATAACTGTTCGTCGGGAGCTTCATGAAATGGGTTTCCAAGGCCGAGCAGCCGCACACAAGCCTAAAATCACCATGCGCAATGCCAAGCGCCGGCTGGAGTGGTGTAAAGCTCGCCGCCATTGGACTCTGGAGCAGTGGAAACGTGTTCTCTGGAGTGATTTTTTTTTTTTTTTTTTTTTTTTCACCTTTATTTAACCAGGTAAGCCAGTTGAGAACAGGTTCTCATTTACAACTGCGACCTGGCCAAGATAAAGCAAAGCAGTGCAATAAAAACAACACAGAGTTACATATGGGGTAAAAAAACATAAAGTCAAAAATACAACAGAAAATATATATACAGTGTGTGCAAATGTAGCAAGTTATGGAGGTAAGGCAATAAATAGGCTATAGTGCAGAATAATTACAATAGTATTAACACTGGAATGCTAGATGTGCAAGAGATTATGTGCAAATAGAGATACTGGGGTGCAAAAGAGCAAAATAAATAACAATATGGGGATGAGGTAGTTGGGTGGGCTAATTTCAGATGGGCTGTGTACAGGTGCAGTGATCGGTAAGGTGCTCTGACAACTGATGCTTAAAGTTATTGAGGGAGATAAGAGTCTCCAGCTTCAGAGATTTTTGCAATTCGTTCCAGTCATTGGCAGCAGAGAACTGGAAGGAATGGCGGCCAAAGGAGGTGTTGGCTTTGGGAATGACCAGTGAGATATACCTGCTGGAGCGCAGACTACGGGTGGGTGCTGCTATGGTGACCAATGAGCTAAGATAAGGCGGGGATTTGCCTAGCAGTGATTTATAGATGGCCTGGAGCCAGTGGGTTTGACGACGAACATGTAGTGAGGACCAGCCAACAAGAGCGTACAGGTCACAGTGGTGGGTAGTGAATGGGGCTTTGGAGACAAAACGGATGGCACTGTGATAGACTACATCCAATTTGCTGAGTAGAGTGTTGGAGGCTATTTTGTAAATGACATCGCCGAAGTCAAGGATCGGTAGGATAGTCAGTTTTACGAGGGCATGTTTGGCAGCATGAGTGAAGGAGGCTTTGTTGCGAAATAGGAAGCCGATTCTAGATTTAACTTTGGATTGGAGATTCTTTATGTGAGTCTGGAAGTTGAGTTTACAGTCTAACCAGACACCTAGGTATTTGTAGTTGTCCACATACTCTAGGTCAGACCCGTCGAGAGTGGTGATTCTAGTCGGGTGGGCGGGTGCCAGCAGCGTTCGATTGAAAAGCATGCATTTAGTTTTACTAGTGTTTAAGAGCAGTTGGAGGCTACTGAAGGATTGTTGTATGGCATTGAAGCTCGTTTGGAGGTTTGTTAACACAGTGTCCAATGAAGGGCCAGATGTATACAAAATGGTGTCGTCTGCGTAGAGGTGGATCTGAGAGTCACCAGCAGCAAGAGCGACATCATTGATATACACGGAGAAAAGTGTCGGCCCAAGAATTGAACCCTGTGGCACCCCCATAGAGACTGCCATAGGTCCAGACAACAGGCCCTCCGATTTGACACACTGAACTCTATCTGAGAAGTAGTTGGTGAACCAGGCGAGGCAGTCATTTGAGAAACCAAGGCTATTTAGTCTGCCAATAAGAATGCGGTGGTTGACAGAGTCGAAAGCCTTGGCCAGGTCGATGAAGACGGCTGCACAGTACTGTCTATTATCAATCGCGGTTATAATATCGTTTAGGACCTTGAGCGTGGCTGAAGTGCACCCGTGACCAGCTCGGAAACCGGATTGCATAGCGGAGAAGGTACGGTGGTATTCGAAATGGTCGGTGATCTGTTTGTTAACTTGGCTTTCAAATACTTTCGAAAGGCAGGGCAGGATGGATATAGGTCTGTAGCAGTTTGGATCTAGAGTGTCTCCCCCTTTGAAGAGGGGGATGACCGCGGCAGCTTTCCAATCTCTGGGGATCTCAGAAGTTATGAAAGAGAGGTTGAACAGACTAGTAATAGGGGTTGCGACAATTTCGGCGGCTAGTTTTAGAAAGAAAGGGTCCAGATTGTCTAGCCCAGCTGATTTGTAGGGGTCCAGATTTTGCAGCGCTTTCAAAACATCAGCTGTCTGAATTTGTGTGAAGGAGAAGCGGGGGGGGGCTGTGATGAATCACGCTTCACCATCTGGCAGTCCCACGCACGTATCTGGGTTTGGCGGATGCCAGGAGAACGCTAGTGACAACTGTAAAGTTTGGTGGAGGAGGAATAATGGTCTGTGCTGTTTTTCATGGTTCGGGCCAGGCCACTTAGTTCCAGTGAAGGGAAATCTTAACGCTACAGCATACAATGACATTCTAGACGATTCTGTGCTTCCAACTTTATGGCAACCGTTTGGGGAATGCCCTTTCCTGTTTCAGCATGACAATGCCCCCGTGCACAAAGCGAGGTCCATACAGAAATGGTTTGTCGAGATCGGTGGGGAAGAACTTGACTGGCCTGCACAGAGCCCTGACCTCAACCCCATCGAACACCTTTGGGATGAATTGGAACGTTGACTGCGAGCCAGGCCTAATCGCCCAACATCAGTGCCCGACCTCACTAATGTTCTTGTGGCTGAATGGAAACAGGGTTCCAACATCTAGTGGAAAGCTTTCCCAGAAGATTGAAGGCTGTTATAGCAGCAAAGGGGGGACCAACTCCATATTAATGCCCATGATTTTGTAATGAGATGTTCGACGAGCAGGTGTCCACATACTTTTGGTAATGTAGTGTTCCACATCCCCTCGGGCATTATTGCTTAATTAACATCCTTTACAAGGTCAGTGGGTGTTGAAGCACAATGTTACTGGGAATACTGTCTGAACTCAATAGTTTGGACATGGGTGGGACATTTTCATTGTGGAAATGGTGCTCCGTGAATGAACACTGATGAAGCGGTATCGTACTCAATAGCCTTATTTTACATAATTGAACTTTGTGTGTGTGTGTCAGATGGTCGGCTGGAGAGGAACAGTGTAGCAGCCTTCCTGCTGATGGTGAAGAATCTGATTCGTCATCACCCTGCCAACCAGGAGAGCCTACTGAACTGCCACGGACCCAGCATTATAGGAGCCATGCTCACTAAGGTACTGGCCCATTCTAGGAGCCATGCTCACTATGGTACTGGCCCATTACAGGAGCCATGCTCACTAAGGTACTGTCCCATTACAGGAGCCATGCTCACTAAGGTACTGTCCCATTACAGGAGCCATGCTCACTAAGGTATTATCCCATTACAGGAGCCATGCTCACTAAGGTATTATCCCATTACAGGAGCCATGCTCACTAAGGTACTGGCCCATTACAGGAGCCATGCTCACTAAGATACTGTCCCATTATAGGAGCCATGCTCACTAAGGTACTGGCCCATTCTAGGAGCCATGTTCACTAAGGTACTGGCCCATTACAGCAGCTAAAACCTGGGTCACGTTATTGTGTGTAGTGGCTAATGTACAGACCAGAGCCATCATCATCCTACAGTACTGTAGTGGCTAATGTACAGACCAGAACTATCATCATCCTACAGTACTGTAGTGGCTAATGTACAGACCAGAGCTATCATCAGTAGGACAGATGATACAGTACAAACACACCTCGGTACCTCTGATTCTCCCTACAGTAGGACAGATACAGTACAAACACACCTTGGTACCTCTGATTCTCCCTACAGTAGGACAGATACAGTACAAACACACCTTGGTACCTCTGATTCTCCCTACAGTAGGACAGATACAGTACAAACACACCTTGGTACCTCTGATTCTCCCTACAGTAGGACAGATACAGTACAAACACACCTCGGTACCTCTGATTCTCCACACAGTAGGACAGATACAGTACAAACACACCTCGGTACCTCTGATTCTCCCTACAGTAGGACAGATACAGTACAAACACACCTTGGTACCTCTGATTCTCCCTACAGTAGGACAGATACAGTACAAACACTTCTACATCTTGTAAAACTCTTGTCGTGTTACATGGAGCATGTTATGCGAAGCAATTTTTTAGAAAGCAGAGAAAATACAATCTCATCTCCTCTACCCAACTCTCTCCCTCCCCCATCTGTCTCTCCCTCCCCCAGGTCCCAGGCTGTATGATTGATATGTCTGTGCTGATGGCGTGTCAGTTCCTGTTGGAGCAGGTCTCCAGTGAGGAGAACAGTCCATTGCTCCTGCAGCTCTACCAGCACCTGTTGTTCGACTTCCGCATCTGGAGCAGCAGCCACTTCGCTGTGTGTCTGGGTAAGAGCAGTCAGGCACTGGTAGCCAGTTGTGTAGGCCTTTGAACATCAGAGCAGTTGTTGGCTAAATCACAAACAGCTGTGGGAGGGTTATGTCTAGCGTGTCGTCCCTACAGTGTGCAAGACTAATCCAGTAACAACAGACTTTGGTCGGCTCTGTCAAAGCTAACTCTGCCCCTTTCATATGCAAGTAGAGGCTCTGTCAAAGCTAACTCTGCCCCTTTCATATGCAAGTAGAGGCTCTGTCAAAGCTAACTCTGCCCCTTTCATATGCAAGTAGAGGATCTGTCAAAGCTAACTCTGCCCCTTTCATATGCAAGTAGAGCCTCTGTCAAAGCTAACTCTGCCCCTTTCATATGCAAGTAGAGGCTCTGACAAAGCTAACCCTGCCCCTTTTCATATGCATGTAGACTGAGGCATAAGCCTTTGGTACAGAGGGAATATATTATCATTATCATTATTATTACCCACTGATACTGTATGAATCAATACCCTCCAGGATGTAAGTCTGTGCTCATGTAACATCATATAAATGCATGCTGTTTTCCTGTGGTACATTTTCAGACTGCATTGTCAGTCAATAACATACAGTGAGGGAAAAAAGTATTTGATCCCCTGCTGATTTTGTACGTTTGCCCACTGACAAAGACATGATCAGTCTATAATTTTAATGGTAGGTTTATTTGAACAGTGAGAGACAGAATAACAACAACAAAATCCAGAAAAACGCATGTCAAAAATGTTATGAATTGATTTGCATTTTAATGAGGGAAATAAGTATTTGACCCCTCTGCAAAACATTACTTAGTACTTGGTGGCAAAACCCTTGTTGGCAATCACAGAGGTCAGACGTTTCTTGTAGTTGGCCACCAGGTTTGCACACATCTCAGGAGGGATTTTGTTCCACTCCTCTTTGCAGATCTTCTCCAAGTCATTAAGGTTTCGAGGCTGACGTTTGGCAACTCGAATTTTCAGCTCCCTCCACAGATTTTCTATGGGATTAAGGTCTGGAGACTGGCTAGGCCACTCCAGGACCTTAATGTGCTTCTTCTTGAGCCACTCCTTTGTTGCCTTGGCCATGTGTTTTGGGTCATTGTCATGCTGGATTACCCATCCACGACCCATTTTCAATGCCCTGACTAAGGGAAGGCGGTTCTCACCCAAGATTTGACGGTACATGGCCCCGTCCATCATCCCCAAAGCATAATGTTTCCACCTCCATGTTTGACGGTGGGGATGGTGTTCTTGGGGTCATAGGCAGCATTCCTCCTCCTCCAAACACGGCGAGTTGAGTTGATGCCAAAGAGCTAGATTTTGGTCTCATCTGACCACAACACTTTCACCCAGTTCTCCTCTGAATCATTCAGATGTTCATTGGCAAACTTCAGACGGCCCTGTATATGTGCTTTCTTGAGCAGGGGGACCTTGCGGGCGCTGCAGGATTTTTGTCCTTCATGGCGTAGTGTGTTACCAATTGTTTTCTTGGTGACTATGGTCCCAGCTGCCTTGAGATCATTGACAAGATCCTCCCGTGTAGTTCTGGGCTGATTCCTCACCGTTCTCATGATCATTGCAACTCCACAAGGTGAGATCTTGCATGGAGCCCCAGGCCGAGGGAGATTGACAGTTATTTTGTGTTTTTCCATTTGTGAATAATCGCACCAACTGTTGTCACCTTCTCCAGCCTTGTGTAGGTCTACAATCTTGTCCCTGACATCCTTGGAGAGCTCTTTGGTCTTGGCCATGGTGGAGAGTTTGGAATCTGATTGATTGATTGCTTCTGTGGACAGGTGTCTTTTATACAGGTAACAAGCTGAGATTAGGAGCACTCACTTTAAGAGTGTGCTCCTAATCTCAGCTCGTTACCTGTATAAAAGACACCTGGGAGACAGAAATCTTTCTGATTGAGAGTGTGTCAAATACTTATTTCCCTCATTAAAATGCAAATCAATTTATAACATTTTTGACATGCGTTTTTCTGGATTTTTGTTGTTGTTATTCTGTCTCTCACTGTTCAAATAAACCTACCATTAAAAGTATAGACTGATCATTTATTTGTCAGTGGGCAAACATACAAAATCAGCAGGGGATCAAATACTTTTTTCCCTCACTGTAGAAGTGAAGGACATGCGTCCCAAATAGCACCCTATTCCTTAAATAGTGCACCACTACTTTTGGTAGTGCACTAAATAGGGAATAGGGGATAGGGTGCTATTTGGGACGCAACCAATGTGCATGATGTGTTATCTGAAGGCCATGTCCAGTACCTCATATTGATGTGTTATCTGAAGGCCATGTCCAGTACCTCATATTGATGTGTTATCTGTGAAGGCCATGTCCAGTACCTCATATTGATGTGTTATCTGTGAAGGCCATGTCCAGTACCTCATATTGATGTGTTATCTGTGAAGGCCATGTCCAGTACCTCATATTGATGTGTTATCTGAAGGCCATGTCCAGTACCTCATTGAGTGTTATTGAAGGCCATGTCCAGTACCTCATATGATTGTTATCTGTGAAGGCCATGTCAGTACCATCATTGATGGTATCTGTGAAGGCCATGTCCAGTACCTGTCATTTGTGATCAAGGACGGGAATCAGCGCATGAGGAAGAAGTATGGAGTACAGTAAATCCTGGATACCATACGGACACACTACAGGTACCTCAATAACCCTTTACACTACAGGTACCTCAATAACCCATTACACTCCAGGTACCTCAATAACCCTTTACACTCCAGGTACCTCAATAACCCTTTACACTCCAGGTACCTCAATAACCTTTACACTCCAGGTACCTCAATAACCCTTTACACTCCAGGTACCTCAATAACCCTTTACACTCCAGGTACCTCAATAACCCTTTACTATGGTAATCATCATCTTGATGACACAAATTATGAATTGTGACTTACCTATGCTTCTTAAAATGTAGATGGCAAAACATGTATGATAGATTTACAGTGGGGGAAAAAAGTATTTAGTCAGCCACCGATTGTGCAAGTTCTCCCACTTAAAAAGATGAGAGAGGCCTGTAATTTTCATCATAGGTACACGTCAACTATGACAGACAAAATGAGAAAAGAAAATCCAGAAAATCACATTGTAGGATTTTTAATGAATTTATTTGCAAAATATGGTGGAAAATAAGTATTTGGTCACCTACAAACAAGCAAGATTTCTGGCTCTCACAGACCTGTAACTTCTTCTTTAAGAGGCTCCTCTGTCCTCCACTCGTTACCTGTATTAATGGCACCTGTTTGAACTTGTTATCAGTATAAAAGACACCTGTCCACAACCTCAAACAGTCACACTCCAAACTCCACTATGGCCAAGACCAAAGAGCTGTCAAAGGACACCAGAAACAAAATTGTAGACCTGCACCAGGCTGGGAAGACTGAATCTGCAATAGGTAAGCAGCTTGGTTTGAAGAAATCAACTGTGGGAGCAATTATTAGGAAATGGAAGACATACAAGACCACTGATAATCTCCCTCGATCTGGGGCTCCACGCAAGATCTCACCCCGTGGGGTCAAAATGATCACAAGAACGGTGAGCAAAAATCCCAGAACCACACGGGGGGACCTAGTGAATGACCTGCAGAAAGCTGGGACCAAAGTAACAAAGCCTACCATCAGTAACACACTACGCCGCCAGGGACTCAAATCCCGCAGTGCCAGACGTGTCCCCCTGCTTAAGCCAGTACATGTCCAGGCCCGTCTGAAGTTTGCTAGAGTGCATTTGGATGATCCAGAAGAGGATTGGGAGAATGTCATATGGTCAGATGAAACCAAAATAGAACTTTTTGTTTAAAACTCAACTCGTCGCGTTTGGAGGACAAATAATGCTGAGTTGCATCCAAAGAACACCATACCTACTGTGAAGCATGGGGGTGGAAACGTCATGCTTTGGGGCTGTTTTTCTGCAAAGGGACCAGGACGACTGATCCGTGTAAAGGAAAGAATGAATGGGGCCATGTATCGTGAGATTTTGATTGAAAACCTCCTTCCATCAGCAAGGGCATTGAAGATTAAACGTGGCTGGGTCTTTCAGCATGACAATGATCCCAAACACACCGCCCGGGCAACGATGTAGTGGCTTCGTAAGAAGCATTTCAAGGTCCTGGAGTGGCCTAGCCAGTCTCCAGATCTCAACCCCATAGAAAATCTTTGGAGGGAGTTGAAAGTCTGTGTTGCCCAGCGACAGCCCCAAAACATCACTGCTCTAGAGGAGATCTGCATGGAGGAATGGGCCAAAATACCAGCAACAGTGTGTGAAAACCTTGTGAAGACTTACAGAAAACGTTTGACCTGTGTCATTGCCAACAAAGGGTATATAACAAAGTATTGAGAAACTTTTGTTATTGACCAAATACTTATTTTCCACCATAATTTGCAAATAAATTCATTAAAAATCCTACAATGTGATTTTCTGGAATTTTTTTTCTCATTTTGTTGACGTGTACCTATGATGAAAATTACAGGCCTCTCTCATCTTTTAAAGTGGGAGAACTTGCACAATTGGTGGCTGACTAAATACTTTTTTCCCCCACTGTATGTACATGTGGATGTCTCTGTTGTTTGTATGCCTCCATATGTACATACAGTGGCTTTCGAAATTATTCACCCCCCTTGGCATTTTTCCTATTTTGTTGCCTTACAACCTGGAATTAAAATGGATTTTTGTGGGGGTTGTATCATTTGATTTACACAACATGCCTACCACTTTGAAGATGCAAAATATTTTTTGGGGTGAAACAAACAAGATCTTGAGCGTGCATAACTAATTACCCCCCCCCCCCCCCCCCCCCCCCCCCACACACACACATTGTAGAGCCACCTTTTGCAGCAATTACAGCTGCAAGTCTCTTGGGGTATGTCTCTATAAGCTTGGCACATCTAGCCACAGCGATTTTTGCCCATTCTTCAAGACAAAACTGCTCCAGCTCCTTCAAGTTGAATGGATTCCGCTGGTGTACAGCAATCTTTAAGTTATACCACAGATTCTCAATTGGATTGAGGTCTGGGCTTTGACTAGGCCATTCC